ACGATTTGTTGGGGGAATCTTACGCGCAAGAGATGGGCCAATTTCAGAAAAATATTTACAAAAATCATTGGCAATTTTAGAGGGTTCATTAATAGTCATCTTATTTGATCGAAAAGATGACGGTAGTGAGGGCTTTTTACGTTTTAGGTTAGTGACTTCATTTATTAATTTCCATGTTGTTTTCAAATCACTTTTAGCTAATTCAATTTTTTTATCATAGTAAGTTTTCTTTGATATTCTAATTAGGTGATTCAATTTATTTTTGTATCTCTTATATTGAGAGTCACGTGCAGGGGTAGGGTTTGCGAGATATTTTTTGTATAATTTATTCTTTTTTTTAACGGAAGTCAGCAAACCTTTAGTAATCCATGGTGATTTTGATTTCCTACAAGAATTCAACTTAGATATTTTTAAGGGAAAACAATCCTCAAAATGCCTATAATATTCTTCGGCAAAAACATCGTAAAGTCTATTTGGATCCTGCCCTATCAAGACCCGAGTCCATTCGACCTGTGATAATTTAGTTTGAAACTTGATAATATTTAAATCATTGTAATCCCGAGTATAATATGTGGTTTCATTGTTTGGTTTCTCAAATTTAGTACTAGATAATGCAAACACAGGTAGGTGGTCCGACAAGTCGTTCAGAATAAGTCCATTTACAATATTTCGTGTAAAACAATTCGTAAATATGTTATCAATTAGTGTTGCTGAATGAGAAGTTAGCCGCGTTGGCTTATTAATAAGAGGAATAAACATATGTGAAAATAATGAGTCTATAAATTCTTGTGTATACGCATGATGATCACAATGAAGTAAGTCCAAATTAAAATCTCCCATTATGTAGCATTGTTTGTTGTCTTTGGAAATAATAGAAAGGATTTTATTAAAGTCTTCGATAAATGAGACAAGGTTTTGGTTGGGTGGGCGGTAAACAGTTCCTACAATAATGTTTTTCCCAAGAGGGTTTGAAATTTCAACAAACAGAGACTCAATTACTTCAGGATTAGAAATATTACAGTCTTGAATTAATTTGTACTGAAAATAATCACCTAGATAAAGACCTACACCACCGCCTGTTTTACCTCGGCGATGATTACTAATGAAGTTATAACCAGGCAGATTTACCATATTAAAAGTATCATCGTTTAGCCAGGTTTCAGATACTCCAATTACAGAAAATGAGTCGAGCAAATTTGTGGTTAAAACTCTAAACCTATCAAAATTACCAATGAGACTTCGACAATTTATATGCAAAAAAGATATTCCCGAATTACATGATTTATCCGTTACAAGTTCATTAACTTCACTTTCAATCATGTACCTACTATTAGATGGCATTAGTTCGTTAAAGTTTAAATCTGGGTCAAGATTAGTTATAAATGAGTTCTCTAAAGTAGAAGGCAGATTTTCAATTGGATTGAATATTAAAGATTCTAAACGATCTACGTCAAAATTTAATGGACCATGTTCAAACTCATACAATACTGCATTAAAGGCGGTATCATCCAGGTGATTAAATGGCAGAGGTGACTCACTTTCAAACAAAGAATTATTAACAGCCATTATTAAATATAATTATACTTATCTTCAAAAAGAAGATAGTTATAAACTTTGTTCTTGAGATAACAATCGAGCAAGATCCTCTCGTTTTGTTAGCTTGATAACAACATCACCCTCGGATTTGCGCAAACAAATGGCTTTATTTCTAACCCAGCAAAACTTGAAGTTATTCTCACGTTTGTATTTGTTCGCCTCAAACAAGAGTTCCTGTAGACGTGGAGGTGGATGTTCATAGATACTAAGATAATTAAGTTGCACTTCTGAGGAGAAACTAAGTTGTTGTGGTTGAACGTTGCTAGTTTCCTTTCTGAGAGCAAGAACCCTTTCCTTAGCCAAGCGACGGACGAATTTACAGATTATTGCACTCGGCCGATTTGATTGCCTTCTCGCAAGGACTCGATGTGAAATGTCTATGTCCTGTTCTGTAACTTCAGCTCCGATCGCGGCGAACAAATTCAAACACAATTTCGTTGTGTTTTCGGCTGATTCATTCTCACATTGCTGTGGCATGCCGACGATTTTCAGATTATATTGATAGCTATAGTCCTCCATTTGTTCAACGGAGGTCATAATAGCTTCGCATTTTTTAGATATCATGCTAACTTGCTTTTTCATATCTTTGAGATCTTGAATCACGTTGTTTTTAAACACAATAATATCATCGTATTGTGCGCTTATGAATTCGATAGACTTACTTTTATCGGCTGCTTCAGACCGATTAGTTGCATGGTTGACTTCTTGTCCGGTAAGAGAATCGGCCATGCTGTCTTTATTCTTTGACACTTCGTTTGTAATTTTATCCAGCCTTTCTTCTAGTGCCGTGATCTCGCTTCTTAGTGCTTGGTTCTCTTTCCGAAGCTTAGCAGTTGCCATAAAAATAATATTAGGTAGTTGTATGATGTGAATAAGTAGTGAATTTATATATCTTAATATATAAAATTTTAGCGGAGCACAAAATACACGTCTGCCCACGAGCACTGACCACGAGTCATGATATACAATTGTCAACATACATATGCATGTACTGTACATAACTATGAAACGTATTAAGGGACCGGCCATAAAGTAAAAGGGGGGTGGGTTGGGAAAATCATATATTTGGTGTCTGCACTTTTGGTAGCTCACCCCTTACTAGCTGCACGAAAATTTGTGGCCCACCCTTAAATTGGTGCTGAAAAATTATGACGCACCCTTTCAGAAAGGCGAAAGATACCAGCATTCTATTTTTCTGTTGCCAAATAATTCTGTGTTACAATACTCAATAGCTATTCAAATGGTGCAATTAAAATTCAGGGCCTCTTTAAAGGATGTGTAACTGGAGGGGACATATTTAGTGGAGGGCCTGGAGAAGTTGCAGTCGGCCAGTCTAATCACTGCAGCTACCAGCATATATATGCATGGTTTAACTAAGTATATATCATAGGGCAGCAGATCAGACAGTAACCAGGATACTCAGACAACCGAGTCAACCAAATCGAAAATTTTGGGCATACCCCCGAGAAAATTTTGGATTTCTTGAAGCTCAGATAAGCTATTTCCCGCATTTTGGAGAGTTTTCCAAAAGAAATTAACCTTATAAATAGTGACACAATTACTGCAATTTCAGTCTCCCAAATGTAACCCAGTCCCAATAAGGCAACATGGTGTGATGATGCGGTAATTAAAATGTGTGTGGTATAGTATTATCACTCACCACACTTCAAATTCTACAGTACTGTATTCATGTAATGGCGTACTTGAAATCGACGCATTTGTCTTCTCAATGTCACTGAAGAGCAAGATAGCGATAGAGTGGTCTCTTTGGAGTATCTTTGCTTGGAAAACTAAACTAGAATTTCATCCTAAAATGCCATTTCATGCCTTGTTCCACGGGCAAATTATTTCAGTCATGGTTTAGGTTTCTGGTGATGTTTAAATTTCAGTCCCCAAATTCTGGCCTACCAAGTCGACTAACTCGGTTGATTCGTAGCTAGTTACGGGTCTGCAGATGATGGTCAAATTCAGAAATGTTAACAACTTAACATTGTTTTCTCACTTTGATACATAATTGCTGGTTGACCACCTACTGCAGGTAGTTCTTAGGGACCTCAATGCATGGGGGACAAAATTGCCGACTGGAGGGGCCAGTAAGAGCACTGGGGGGGGGATGTCCTCCCCAGTCTATATGTTAAAAGAGGCCTAGATTAAATACAGAAAGGTCTTTCTTTGCATAGAACTTCCCAGCATTATGCTGTATCTTTCTCATAATTAGAGACTTTTAGTTTGACATTTACAGCTAACGCCAAACTGCTAACGATGATTGTTATTTAACTATGCTCTTGTAGAAATTACACTAATTTTGTTACATAATAAACATCCTACACAAAGCTCGTGACATAAAGCATAATGATTATCAGAAAATTAGTTAGCCACTACTAACATATTACCAAGACAGTAAATTCAGCTTTTAAGTTTGAGGTTAACGTTTGTGGTATAAATTTTACACATGGACGTTTTATTTCTATTTTTATGATATGAATTTTAATGCACATGCCCTTGAAAAAATTTCTACATATTTTTACCTGGCCCAACCTTATGATTGCACTTAACTTTCGATGACCCACCCCTTCAACCGTGCTCAAAAATAGTGACTCACCCCCTATTTTTCCCAGCCCACCCCCGCTTTTACTTTATGACCAGTCCCTAATACGAAAATTTGTGGGACAAATGAAACATTACCCATTAACATTAAATTTGGATGAAAATTGCATGAGAAATTGCAACTCAAATTAGCAAACGTTTGTGCCTTGCTTTGCCAGGCAGAGTAAACTGTATGCATAATTAGCCCATTGTATAATTTCAAATAATTTATGCATGATACTTGGCTTGGGGAGATATGCAGTGATTGCAGTCTGTAGTCAAGTGCCCTCTAGTTACTACTCGTTTCCATGAAATCACAAGAATAGCAATAGTCCATTGCAATTAAGTCCTAGTGTTGTTAATATGTAACTGTGTGTACAAGTGTAAGCCAATTTGCACACAATTCCCAATGGTGGGAATATACTCTTACTTTATGCTTCCGTGTTTGGATGGCCTGATCCAAACACGCGGGAATGTTGCGAGAGTTAAGAAAAGCGCGCGAAACACGAGCCGAAGGCGTGTGATTTTGCGCGCTTTTCTTAACTCGAGCAACATTCCCAAACTCGAGCAACATTCCCACTAGAAAAAAATGTATCATAATTTGACAGCAAAAGCCTGAAAAGGTCTGATCTTTATTGATATAGAAAATAAATAATCTTTCTTGCGTTTCTTAACTGGCTTTTCAAAAACATTCTCTCCAATTATTTGAAAATCGGCGTAAGGTGAAGATTTTATGTTCCAACCGCGATTCATCTTTGAAAACGGTCTCCAGAAATATATAATTCTTATTAACTGATAAATAGGTAAAATAGCGAGACATGAATCACTATAATTCCGTACTAATTTATACCAGTAGGGCAATCAGCCTAACCGAGGGTAGGACCTTAGGGGATTTATACTTATGTTGGGTGACTGTCCTGTAATTGAAAACTCCTGTAAGTACTGTAGAGATTGGGTTGGTTCTCTCCTATTCTGTGATTGTTTCTTGCGGGTGCTCCGACTTTCCTCACACCTATACCGAAAACCAGACTTAGTTATCTATATAGCACGAATATCATGATCCTCTGGCGTGAAAGAATCGTGCATCATGCACACCCTGTGAAATGGACATTAAATATATCGTTATTTCAGGAGATTATATAGATTTAAAAGTATTCTCCTTGTAATTGTAACGGAATATTTTTAATTATTTTGTTTAGCTCTTGGTGTATTTACATCCACAGCAGGTGGTATAAAATATAAAAGAGAATACACAACAATTGAAATTCCTTTCACATTCAATGACAACAAGTTTGCGAGTGTAATTTGGTATTATAAGAAACGAGGCTCTTCTGGGAGTTTAATCACGATCTATGACGTCAACCCTCAGGGTGAAAGCATTCCAGTTGATTCAAACCAGTTCACTGGCCGAATTGAGTTCAAAGGGGACTTTGCAAATACAAACAGAGATGCAACACTGGCCATTAAGGATTTTATGAAACAAGATGAAGGAAATTTTACCTGTGAAGTGAGAGGTCCTAAGATCCGTAGACAGACAGTCACAATCAGAGTGACAGGTAGTATTATAAAAGATGCTTTGTTTCATTGATTGTACTATTGCGTATTCTTTCAAACTGCTCTTCTAACGAACGTTTCTTGCTTACGTTTAGTCATTTCCAAATTCAGTCATGTCCCATTTCATTTTTTCCAAGCTTTTTTTCCCACCCACTTTCCCTATTAATATCTATAGTAAAATTGGCCTAATCAAATCATGCTTGTGGTGATGTGGTCTGTGGATTTTATTTTTGTTGGGAGGTAGTCAATCTTTGAATGGAGCCAGGCATATAGGGGTTGAACCAAAACTAGTAGCCTCGGAACGAGAATTTATGGGTCGTCCCGAAATCAATTCCAGCTTGTGTATGACTCGGATAGATCCTACTAATAGGTATTGAATTTGGCGCAATAGCTATTTTATCCTTATTTTAGATTGCTTTTGAAGTTGTTAGCCTAAAATAGATGTTTTAGATTTAGATACTTCACATGCACCCTTCACTCATAGTTAACCATCTGCCTCGTCCCCAGGCGTTAATAAAAAAATTTCATGCGAGTCACTATATGAAGGTTTACATGAAGTAGTGCATCACATTATAGGCGCGCAAAGGGGAGTGGGATATGAGCGTTCTGGTTAGCAAGAAATGCATCCAAGAAATGCATCCATGCTCCTCAATTTTCGATGCCTCAAGCCCATAACTCCCTGCGCTTGTTCATCGTGATGCACTACTTCATGTAAACCTTTCATATAGTGACTCCCATGAAATTTTTTTATTAGCGCCTGGGGACGAGGCAGGTTAACCATGCAGTAAGGCCAAAAAAAATATGTGGGTTTCCGGTTTCTTCTTATAAAAACTTAGGTAGGGTAGGTCGGTTTTAACTTTTTTTTTTAACTTTTATTTTAATTTTCCTAACAACCGGACGCCATTTTGTTTAGTCAGTGCTTCCATATCCAAAGATAAATTTCCCTAATATTGCCTCAAATTTCAATTTTCCACAAACTTTTTCCTCTTTCAAGTGGAAACACTTACAAGCATGATCCAATAAAAAAGTTTAGTAGGGTCGGGAAACCGGAAACCCACATATATTTTTTTTTTGCCTAACTCCAGAATTCAGAATTTAACGTTTTGAAGACATAACGCACATTTTAACATTTGAATTTGTAGCTATCCCCCTATAATATAGGCTTAGACTAGAGAGGTATTGCGGTGCCCCGCCCAAAGTTTGGGCACCGCATTATATTCTGCCTGTGAGTTTGTTTGTTTGTTAGTTTGTTCGCATCAATACGTTTCCTTAATCGCCTACCAAAAATTCCTTGCACGTGCTCGGAATTTATTAATTATTATTAATCGTGTACTCTCATGATGATCGACTGTTTGCTCAGCTTTATCTCTGGTTTTATGCGTCAAACAAGGACAAAAATACCACTGTTCGAATCAGCGTGAAAAGTTGTGTTTACGTATGGAAAATTGATTTCAAAATTGACTTCTATTCTAGGTATTTGTCGCCTTTGAAAGACAAAAGCCGCTCAAAATAATTCTTCACGTTTTCCGAATTCCTTTTTTCGAGGAAAGTTTTCTTTCGAATTACAACTCGAACTCTCACGATTGACATTTTGCTGCGTCTTATCTCTGGTTTTATGCGCCCAATAAGGACAAAAATACCACCGTTCGATTCAGTGTAAGAAATTATACTGACAGATGTCAAATGTATTACTAAACTACAGTATTCTAGCGATTTATGGCCTTTGAAAGACAAGCGAAATTGTATTGTTCACAAATCGCTCAAAATTATTAAACATAATTAAAAGTGCAATACATTTGACCTTGATAACTTTCGTATTGTTGGTTTTCTCTTTTTCGGCTGTATACCAGTGGATTCGTCTCACTTTTCTCTTTATTTTGTTAGTAGTTTGAGCCCAAAATATTATATTTTGAAGCTTTTAATGTGCAGTTTTAATAAGCGAAATTGTATTGTTTACAAATCGCTCAAAATTACTAAACTAATTAAAAATGCAGTCCGTTTGATCCTTGATAATTTCGGAATTGTTGGGTTTTCTCGTTTTCGGCCGTATGCCAGTGGATTCGTCTCACTTTTCTCTTCATTTTGATAGTATCTTGAGCCCAAAATATTTTATTTTGAAGGCTTTAAAACGCAGTTTCGACCCTAACGTACGGACCAACTGGCGGCCGACAGGAGAATGTAGCGTGCTAACTGCTAAATATTAAACTAGGGTACCTGCAAGGTAGGGATTGCTGCGGGCATCAAAAGCAAATAGAACCACAGTAAAGAGCACAAATTATATCAAGCACAGTGATTACTCGCAGCGACTAGTGAGCTGTGAATGGAACTGAAAAGAAGGACAAGAAGCAATATATATTGAAGTAGCAAAGATTGAAGTAGCAAAGACCAGGGGTTAAAGGGCAATCAGAGGTGACAGATATTAAACATGTGCGATTTCATATCAAGTCATATCTGCTAGGTGCATTTACCACATTATATAGACTATATACACAGATTTATCACACTAAGAAACCAAAACTTTATAAAAAATATAGAACTGACAGTGGCCAAAGTCCAAAACAAATGTAGCGTAACATTAGACGTCACATGAAAAAGCTTTAGAAATTCGATAAAAATTCGATGGTGGGTCCTCGCAGACCTCGCGCGCTCACTTTTCCCTCACTAGAAACATCATGTATTATAGCCAACAGGAGAAATCTAGGGGCCCCATCTAGCGTATTATTTTATATAAGTTTACTTGCAGGCGAAACGCCAGAAATTTTTTTTGCAGGGCACCGCATTTTAGTACTGTGTCTGGTTGGTTTGTAACGTCTGAATTATAAGCCATGAATCCAATATCTTTTAAATGGTTGTATAATTTATTTATATGACTTAATTTATCCCCCCTCAATACTCGTAATTTGTTAAAAGCCAGTACTTTCTTACTATAGTGAGTAGTGTATGTGCATTCATTATGCTGGGCATTGATTCTATCATACAGTATATATAGGATTTCCGATGAACAGTACGTGACCCAGGATTCTAAAACAGAAAAAATAGAAGGCAAGGTGAAGGTATATTAGGGACTGAAGCTGTTTTTACTCGGGAGCCGTAGCATATAATAATTTTAAGTCAAAACTGAGTCTACTTAGATTACTGTAGGTTTTATATTAATGTCATTTATATAGAGAATAATACATGGGTACGCGGAAATACCCGCAGATTTATTTCGAGTTTTGAACAAGAGTGAGCGCAGCGAACGAGTGAGATATCATTTCAACACAAGAAATAAATCTCATCTATGTATTTTTCTGTTTATTATATAAAGTATTAAAGGACAGTATTTGAAAATTAGCGATAAATTTTACAGAGAAGCAATAATTGAATGTATATAATATACATATAACTATTGTATGTTATATAATTCATAACATATATACAAAACATAAAAAATCTAGCTCACATGTCAGATTATCAATTTTATCAGTGCTCGAAATTTCTATAAAGCACTATACTTTATATAATAAAATAATATCTTAGACATTTAATTTCTAGTTACTATATTTATTTACATTATCCAGGGCGCTCTTTATTTATTAACTTTGCAATCATACAAAAATTATAACAATGATTGAAGGTATGGTCAACAGGACATGAGTCCCATGTGAAGACCAACCTGATACAAAACAATAAGTAGACATACATTAAAGCCGAGGACTAGAACACTATTTAAATATATAACTATATAAAAATTAATAGTTTAGATTATGAGCAACAGCTTAAGTTGAAAGAACGGCATTTAGAGCATGCAGTAGGTTTTCCAAGTGCGCATTCTGTTAACATCGAAAGAAGAGTCTAATTGAGAAGACTATAGTGAGAATGGAGCTGGAGTTTAAAGGATGAAACAGATCGACGATAACAGCGTTTGCTGACGAGCTTACCCTAGTGAATATTATTATTATTATATGATATTATTATTATTGTTATTAACTGTGTTAGTATATATGAACGCAGCACAGAAAAGTAGACGGCGAACATTTAGGAAGTAGACGGCGAACTTCGCCAGTCACCGGCTTCTAATGAGAACCCTGCCGTTACCCAATAACATTCGAATAGATTTAAACTTTCCTGTGTGTACAGTATATCAATATGGTTTATTGGTAACAGCCTTTTTTATGAAAAGCTTCAACAGGGTTCGTAGCGGTCTTTGAAATCCTTGAAAGGGGTAACTCCTTTGTGCCAAAAGCCGGCGGCCGCAGGTCAATTATACAGGGATCCCTTGCAAAGTGATGAAGTTTAAGTTTTAAACAATTGTTTCAGACCATCGTCACCGCTTCGAATAAGCAGGACAAGGGTGGCCTTTTTATTTTGAGACGGAGGCCCAACTGTTGAGAAAATCAAACACTTCGAATTGTGCGAGAAAGTGAAGAAAGTTTTTAAAAGTTTTATATATATGTCGGTGAAGATTCTTTAGATAATAAAGTAGATCTATGCAGCTATAGATTTTTACAAATATCGAAAACAAGGCACATTTTAGGATGTGATATGACGGGACTAATTACTGGGTAAAAAATGGCGCTAATATACAATCGTGATTTTTCAACTTCCTCATTGCTCTCAAAGATCTTTGAAAATAGGCAAGTCTTTGAAAATAGGCAAGTCTTTGAAAATAGGCAAGTCTTTGAAAATAGGCAAATCTTTGAAAATAGGCAAGTCTTTAATAGTCGTTGAAATAGTACCCCCAGTTTGTTGGGCAAACAAAGCCAGTCGGGCAATATTCGCTTAACAGTCGGGCAATATTGGCTTATTAGTATTTTTGCACAAGTGAACATAACAAATCCTACAAGGTGATTGGTCAAATTTGACGTATTAATCTGTTATATTCACCTACAGGTGAATATAACAAAATCTTCGTCGAGGTGAATATTCCCCGCGATAATCACCAGCCTGAGGCGAATACTTGTTAATTATAAAAATAAATGGGACAAATTCTGTCAATTTTGTGGAAAATTCTGTCAATTTTGTGGGAAATATCAGTGCTATCTAATAGGAATTTTTCGTAATCATTCCCCCGCCCCCGTCGACAACAATTTTGGAAAGTTTCTCCGGAAAATTTTTTTTGACAACTCGGGCACGCACAATCCGAAAAAGTCGGGCAAATTTCTTTCCGCCCCCCTAATTTTTTCCTTCCCGTACGCCCATGAGCTGAGTTCAAATCCGAAAGTTCCCATGCCGTTTTCTCACAAAATGCTATTTTATCTTCAATAATTTCACGACAAATGTTTCATTGTTCAACGACACGGATTGATGACGATACACGAAGACCGGTTTTGCCCGAATCATTTTGAGTTATGCAATCTTATACGTGTATAGGACGTAAAAACCATATCTTAATTTTTTTCTGTGTTGGTGTAGTGTACTCAGGTGAATATGATATTTGTGGTGTTACTTTGAGTGTATTATATTGGGCTAGTATTCCAAAGGTCGTAGGTTCGAATCCCACCGTGGCCGGGCATATTTTTCAAGCTCGCCCGGTGTGGATATACACTCAGAGTAACACCACAAATATCATATCTTAATTGTCTACAACTTTGAGAAAGTACAAATAACGCTTTCTAAAATCCTCAGCTCTAGATATATATCTATAAAATCACAAGGACATTTATGCGAAGTCTTTTGGCTATGTCACTGGCCTGAAAAATAACTCTTTTAACGCGATCAAGGTATTTAACTCAAAAGTAACACGAAGCCAACGTAACAGTAAAGACGACGCTAAAATGAAATATTATCGATTGGTTGCTGGTAGAACACTTACGACAAGATCAATCTTAAATAACCTTAAACTATAAGAATAAATGTTTACATCAAAGACAAAGATCAGTCCCAAAGTGCTGTGTATTCTGTAAATTCTGTAATGCTCTATATTCTATAAACTTACGAGGAAGTGGAGAAATGTGTGCATATATTTGGTGATTTCAACGTATTGCATGGAGCCCTCTTTCCAATAATATTCGCTTATCGCGCAGTATATAACACCAACTGATGTAATAGTTCAAATGTAATGATAAGTTATCTCTTCAATTACATCTCAGAAACTGTGTTGAAAATTTAAATGCTGATCCATTTTTTTTTTTTTATTTATTTCGCCCAATTTTCCAAAGTACAATAAAATTTAACTATTTACATTTTTATAATCTATACGTAGGGCTAGAGATCTTTTAGAAACCCTTTTGGGATTTTATTTTAAGACCCCTGGTGATAACAAATTTTTTTTTACTTAGCATAATTTCATGATGTCATAAAAATAGTACCCAATATAATAACGAAAATATATACAATTGTGAGAGTGTTTGAAGGAAAGTTAGTCTATTTACAAGATTTTTCAGATTTTTTAAACTTTATACATTAAAATAGGATGATTAATTAGCTGAATGGTGTGATATAAAGTATGTTTTCACATTTTTTTTGAAAACCATATATGATCCAATATTTTTTAACTCATGTACTTAAATTATTCCAAACGTCAATACCTTTACTAACAACAGATTGTTTTCTATAGTTTGTTCTAGTATAAACTTTATGCAATTTTTTTGAATTTTGCGTGCAATGTTCATGAATGTTTGAATTTTTTATGAAGTATCCATTAAAAATGTCGGATAAATCATTAGTACAGTTGCAACGGTACATAAATAAGCTGGTAAGGTAAATCGTTAATTTTGAAAATATTTAATATTTTCAAATCATTAAATAGCGGTTTTTTATGTTCTGTGTATGATTTAAATTTCATTAATCGAATAATCTTCTTTTGAATTCTGAAAAGCTTTTCAATTTTCGAAGGGTATGTATTACCCCAAGCTAAATTACCATATGTAAGGTATGGATAAATTAAAGCATAATAGGGTCAACTTTACAGTGTTCAAGTTCGTAAAATGTCGCAATTTTGAAATTAGTCCAGTAAACTTGACAATAGTTTTACTCATATAGAATCAATATGATTTTTCCACGTTAAATTTTCATCAATTAGTACACCCAAAAATTTTGTATAAGAGACCTTTTGGACCAATTCATTTCTTATTTTTATTGTAATATGAGATTCCGATTTATTATTTTTTGATTTGAAAAGAATTAATTTCGTTTTAGAAGCGTTAATTGATAATTTATTAGCATTAAGCCAATGCATAATTTGATTCATTTCTTCTTGCATTATATTCGTTAAAGAGGTTAAGCAAGAATTTGAATAAAACGATTTGTGTCATCTGCATACAAGACAAATGATATATATTACCACAATTTTCAATATCATTGATATATAACAAAAAGAGCAAAAGTCCAAGTATTGATCCTTGAGGAACACCAGTAGTAATAGTCATTTCTGATGAATTATATTCTTTATATTTTACTATTTGTTTTCTTTCTTTCAAATAACTTTTAACCATTCATTGCATAATCCTCCTATACCATAATGTTCTAACTTCTTTATAAGAATTTCATGGTTGACTGTCTCAAATGCTTTTGAGAGACCAAGGAAAATTCCAATTGTGTATTTGCCTTCATCTATTGCTTTGGAAATTTTGTCATTAATTTCAATAATTGCATGCATGTTCTGTTGATCTATTTTTCCTAAATCCGTATTGGTGTTTCGACAAGATTTCATTTGCGTCAATAAATTTTATCAATCTTTTATACATTACATATAGATTACCGTTTTATATCGTTGTATAAAACATTTTGATCGCATGTAACCAATTAGTTCTTATGCCAGAGACATAGCCCAAAGACTTAGCATTAACGCCCTTATAATTTTATAGAGATAGATCCAGAACTAATCCTAAGGATATTAGAAGGAATTATCTCTACTTTGCGCTCAAAGTTGTAGACAAGATAATGAAGATATGTTGTTTACGTGCAACACGCATAAGATCAGGGTTGGCAAGTTAGATGAATAATTAGGCCAAATCGTCATTAGTGCCGTTTAGAAAACAAAGAAAACAAACAGCCAAGACAAAGAAAACAAAGGCCTAGTGTGACGCTGTTTGGCCTAATTATTCAGGAAACCTACCAACCTTGCATAAGATTGCATAACTCAAAATGATTGGAGCAAAACCGGTCTTTTGTTAAAAGGAAGAATGGTTGATAGAAATTGTTCCTTTTGAGTGACATAATCGTGTAGCGTCATCGACCCGTGCCGTTGAACAATGAAAAAATTTGCTGTGAAATTAGTGAAGATAAAACAGCAGTTTGTGAGAAAACTGCGGGTCTACGGAGTGGGAACTTTTCGGATTTGAACTCAGCGTGTTCGAAAGTGCATGTTAGTTCCTGTAAAAATATTTCAGATCTAAGACATGCTTAATGAAATCGTTTTCTAGTCATGCACTTTTCGAGGTCACAACACACGGCGGACTAATTGTAATATTCGTCCTTCAATTGAAGTTGTGTTGTTAATTTATTGTTCTGAAATATTCCGTTTCGTACTACAAATGGTACTTCAATGGTACAGTTCATCGTCCTTCGATATGGAATGACCCTTACTGACCTCTAGGTAGAATAGTTCAGAAATCAAACATTAAAAATTATCTTGTACTTATCCAGTTTAAATAGTTTAATCTGCAACAGCATGGTCTTATTGTCTACTTGTCAGTCAATTCAATCAGTGCTGTTCTGAAATATTTCTTTTAGTGGTTTCGAATGTACTTGCTGTATAACTGAGTTTAAAACAGTTGATGATAATATAATGATGAGATAATTCAGCAATAGATGATTCCCGTATTACGTTTCAATAGCGCTTTGCATTGTGGTTATAGTGGTATCACTGATAAAGATAGCGGCCTCGAATAAAATATTGAATGTTTTCGCGAATATTTTGCTGTTGGCTATCGTCCACCTACCTTTTTTAAAAGTTCTTGCACGGGTCAGGACAAAAAATATGCCATCTTGAATATCAGTGATATACCACTATAACCAGAATGCAAAGCGCTACGAAAACGTGATAAGGGGAATCATCTATTGCCAATAAGGAATGGCTATTTGGGGAATTGTTGCTTTCACAACTGTTGGTGGTAAATTTAACGTTCGTTTTATAGTTTTGTTAAACCTAATGTTACTGGTAATTTATTGATATTTTAGTGCTTTCTAATATAACGGAGTTTAAAGCATTTGGTAATAATACTGATGAAATAGTCCAAGGTGACAACATAACCCTATCCTGTACAACCACAGTCGGGGAACCATTACCAATTATACAAATGCGAAAAGGAATCACAGTTCTCAACTCTTGCACGGCGAGCAGCATCAGTCCGACAACTCTGCTGTATAGTTTTGAGCGAATTTCGAAAGATGCAAGTGGAACTTACTCTTGTCAAGTAAATACAGATGGGTTTACACCAACGCGAAATTTACAGTTGGATGTGAAATGTGAGTGGAAGTTAAGATTCAATTTAATGTTTGCGACAAAGTTACACACCACTTTTTATACTTTGTATATAGCATGATGAAAAGTTTACTTTGCTATAGTACAGTGTAGAAATGATAAAAGAGAAGAGTGCGATATTGAGGAATAAATTCAGTCAAATGAAAGGGACAAATACACCTTTCCGGAAACACGTCACTTTGACTATAGAGCCTCGCTTTCGTGTATGTGACATAAGTTAAATCCCAGCATAGGTGACGAGGCCCTATATATGGCAGGTGACGTGTGGACTTCCTGGAAGGATGTAATGGGGGCCAGATTTATGTCCCCTATATGTAAGTATACCGAATGTAAAATCATGCGCCCATTTAAAATGTAGTGGGTGACATAGGAATAGTTGTTCACTGCATGAATTTCGTCGTTTATATTTATTTAGGTCGTCCGTAATCTCTATATGGAGAGTACCGCCGCCATGCATGGTTATTTATTTTATGTCGTTTCTAGGTTCCTCCCAAACTTTAATAATATCGCTCGAAATACAACTACAAAAAAACCTGTTTTCGCACTGAATTTGAAAAAAATCGCACTTCTCCCAGTGAATCACGTTAGATCATTTTTCCACCTATATTATACAATTAATAGAGAGTTTAAGCTTCGCGTTAAACGTCAAACGGCAAACGCCAGACAAAGAAAAAATTTACAGTGTCAGGCAATAAAGAGTAAATAAACTTGCTGTTTTAAAACTGAAATACATAATTATTCTTTCGACGCAAGAAAGAAAATATGAAACAAAAACGTTCAACGAAAATTTTGCCAAGAAAGTTCGAACCTGCCGTTTGCTGTTCCCGGAAACGTGAAGCTTAAACTCCCTAATATTATCGCCCTTTTTAGGGCGCACTTAAGTTACACCATACAGGTTCTGTTTTGCTCGCCACCATTTTGTATTTTTGGTGGAAGTAAATGTAAATGTTCCCCATAATGTACATGCATGCTCTCTTTACGAATGTAACCCCTAGTTACATTAAATACAAGTGATACAATACTAACTATTAACAGTAATAAACTAATTACAAGTGAGAAATTTTTTATTGTTACCTACTCTGACTACCTCCTCTAGATCCTCCAGAAATTGATAGATCTGTAAAAACGGAACAGGTTGGTTGTCTTGGAAGGCTGATATCGATAACTTGCGAAGCATCCGGTGATCCAGAGCCTGATGTAAACCTTATTGGACCTGATGGAATAGGTCTACCTATAAAGGGATTTGTGTTAAAGGAATTTGGAACATATCGTTGTGAAGCGTTCAGTAGACTGGGAAATGACTCTCGTAACATCACAGTTAGTCAAGCGACAGGTATATCATTAATATCCTGTAATATATGCTCATATATAGTAGCTATATACATACATCATTACATCAATTAGGTTGATTGACAGTTCACATCATAATCACTAGCACATGTAATTGTAATAGAAACCTCAAGAATCAGTGGACGGTTCCGGCAATTCTAAAATTGAGAAAATTTTGAAAGTTGAAAGTTAAATTTGCAGCAAATCTATCTTTCGACTCACATATTTCTTATCGATAACACAAAATTCCATATCCTTTTCGATGTCATAAATTATTTTTGAAAAACGTCTAAAAGCCCTACCTGATTTCTCATAAAAGGGTACCCTTTTTTGAGATTTGTGTGATAAGTGAATTGGTTCGTTTTAATTACCCTTTTACGTCGATCCAAGTTTCAACTGAAGCGAAAAAACGGATTATCTAACGAATTTATACAAATCAAATCTCCATAAAAATAACTGAAAAGGGTACGATTATCGCTCAACTGCGTCGTTTTGTAAAATGACGAAAAAGGGTACCCTTTCCGGTCAACCATGTTGTTTTGTAGTAAGACGAAACAGAGTACCCTTTTCGGTCAACTATGTTATTTACATAGTAATATGAAAAAGGGTACCCTTTTCTGTAAAATATGATCTTTTATAATTGATACTCAATCGGATTAAAAATTGTCTGGAGTTTTATCAACTGCGTTAACGCGTTAACGCACGTTAAAGCATAGCGTTTAATTTAATTGTATGCCAATTCACTGAAGTAGTATAATTTATTCGCTTATTGTTAAATCAAAATGGCGGAGTACTTGGAGCAAAATATCGAAGACATGAAAAACTATGTTCAAAAGAATTATACTTATCGGCAGATTAGCGACATTTTCAAGCAGCATTTTCCTGGGGTTAGTCGAGGTTTCTCGGAGAGAAACATTCGGTGATTAATAAGGAAACTGGACAACTATGAAGTCGGGACACCGTTATTCAACAGTCTATCAGTGAGGTATTGTGTGCTGTAACTGATTATTTTAAATAGATATGTATACGTATGGCGTTGGGTAATAATATTGTGAAGGCAAAAGAGTTTAATATTCATAATTAATTGAAATTGAGAAATTGTATAGCGAGCTAACGCAACTGGAAGTGACTTATTATAATTATATTATATTTATTATATTATATTATATTACGTTACGTTGCGTCACGTTACGATACGTTTTTTCGCTTTTAGGTTGAAACTTGGATCGACGTAAAAGGGTAATTAAAACGAACCAATTCACTTATCACACAAATCTCAAAAAAGGGTACCCTTTTATGAGAAATACGGTAGGGCTTTTAGACGTTTTTCAAAAATAATTTATGACATCGAAAAGGATATGGAATTTTGTGTTATAGATAAGAAATATGTGAGTCGAAAGATAGATTTGCTGCAAATTTAACTTTCAACTTTCAGAATTTTCTCAATTTTAGAATTGCCGGAACCGTCCACTGATTCTCAAGGACTGGCTAGAACACCTAGAGATAATCAGACGTGTATCTTTTACTTATGAATAAATCTTCTATAAGCACATAGAAGCATTACATGGTGTCAGGAGTGGGATGGCATAATAAGCGGTAAACATGGCATCAGGAAACCTTCAATGGGCAGCGCCTAAACCTTTGAAATTAGACGGGAACGTCAGTGAAAACTTTCGCAAATTTGAGGAGCACTGGACGCTCTTCGAGAAGACTGAGCCGAAAGGACGGTCTGAAGAGGAAAGATGCTCATACTTTCTTCTATGCATTGGAGAGAAAGGCCGAGAAGTTCACAAGACCTTGACGTTCGCAACGCCAGAAACAGAGACAAACCAAGAGGGGGCAACAACGTGGAAGAGAACAACAAACGAGCTAAAATCAGCGTTTAAAACCTACTGTAACCCGAGAAAGAACATTACGTTCGAACGACACAAATTCAACATACGGAATCAAGACGAAAACGAAAGCATCGACCAGTATGTGACTGTTTCGCGCACTCTCGCAGCAACATGTGAATTTGAGACACTTCACGATGGGCTAATTCGTGACCGGATAGTTTGTGGAATTCGTAACCAAAGTATTAAAGAACGTCTACTTCGTGAATCCGAGTTAACCCTGCAGAAAACCTTGGATATATGCCTAGCATCCGAAGTATCTCGCAAGCAAGTGAAGTCGCTAAGCGATCAGAGTTCCGCCAATGTCGACGCATTGGGGAAAGACCAGCGAAAACACAATTACAGAGGGAATTTTCGCAACCACAACAACAAACCGGACAACGGAAAACCCCCAAACAAATCCTGCGGTAATTGTGGTCGAGTTCACGAGCCAAAATCTTGCCCTGCATATGGGAAAAAGTGCAATAACTGTCACAAACTAGGACACTTTGCCAAACTATGTCGATCGCAAGCTAAAAACCCAAAGAAATCGGTTCACGATGTAGATTATGAAAGCGACTCCTCGACGCACGGAATTGATATGGTGAAGACAGCTCTGACAAGTGACAATGACGAAGAACACGCATTTCTTAAAATTAACAACACGACAATTCGCATAAAACTCGACTCCGGAGCCGAGACAAACGTTCTAACAAAGAAAGATTTCGAAGCCGCTGTTCCAGAACGACAACGTCGTAGCAAGCTCAAAACGAGCGCCGCAAAACTGACCGCTTTCGGGGGCCATAACATTCCTGTCATCGGAAAATGCTATTTAAAGTGTCAATACAAAGGAGCGTCTGAAGTACTCGAGTTTCAAGTGGTCGAGACGGGCAAATCCTTGCTCGGATGTACAAATTGTAAAAGTATGAAACTTATAACATTTCATAACGTAGACCAGCTGCGCAACCAGCCAATTAACGACGCGTCACCTCAAAGTTCACTAAACGGACTTACAAGTGAACAGATATTCGAGAAATATTCCAAATGCTTTGACGGATTAGGACGCATATCAGACCCTTATCACATTAATTTAAGATTAACTCTGACGCAACGCCTGTTGTTCATCCACCTCGTAAGCTTCTTTCAGCGTTGAGAGATCGAGTCCAGAACGAACTACAAGAAATGGAATCCAGGGGAATCATTAAGAAAGTCAACGAGCCCACGGCATGGGTATTGTGATGACTGGCCTTCATACTTAAAATTAGAGGAATATATTCCTATCAGACCATTACGATCATCATCTGCCCGGCGTCTAGTAGTCCCTATTATCTCTGGAACCTTCCAAGATGAAGCAGCTCGAGTGTTCAATTCCTTACCTGAAGAAATTCGAAACTGCGATACATTTAAAGATTATTGCAGAACCTCCTCCGAGTACTTCAAAACATTAGTCAAAAACAGAATTAGTGACACGTCGTAAACTCTGTTCACATTGTGTGTATAACTATACTGTATATTACTGTGTATAAGTAATGTCAATTGTTAAATACTGTAATGTATAACATACTACGTATTGTAATACTTGTTGTGTCGTATTATGTACTCCGTTGTATGTATTGTATACTTTGTTATCTTATAATCAAACTCACTTGTAGCATAGAAGAGCCACTATGTGGAAATGCTATTAAATCATTATTATTATTATTATTATTATTATTATTATTATTATTATTAAACTCCATGGTAGTTAACGAGAAACGCTCAGGAAAATTACGTATATGCTTCGATCCACGAGATCTCAACAAAGCTCTGCGTAGAGAGCATTACCAACTCCCCACACAGCAGGAGATAACAAGCCGCCTGACAGACGCCAAATTCTTCAGTAAACTGGATGCGAACTCTGGATTTTGGCAAATGCCACTTGACGAAGAGAGCTCTTATTTGACGACATTTAATACGCCATTTGGTCGCTATCGCTTTACTGTGTTACCATTTGGTGTCGTGTTTGCACAAGAGGAGTTTCATAAAACTGTCAACGAGAAATTTCATGATTTACCCGGATGTGAGACGGACATCGATGACATTTTGATTTGGGGACGAACACTGGAAGAACATGATCAAAACCTTGAACGTGTTCTCAATCGAGTGGCAGATATCAATATGACACTTAGCAAAGACAAATGTCAGTTTCGACAAACCAAGATAACCTATCTGGGAGAAACGCTTACGGCAAATGGTATCAAGCCTGACGAGACCAAAGTTGAAGCAATCAAGAATTACCCCATACCTACGAACAAGCATGACGTCCAACGACTGTTAGGCATGGTCAATTTTATCGCCAAGTTTGCACCGAACATTTCAGACGTCACCGCACCTCTGAGAGAACTCATCAAGAAGAACGTTGCATTCCACTGGCTCGAAACACACGAGAAAGCGTTCCGAGATATACAGCATTCACTAACTGACCCTGCTACTCTGCGTTACTACGATGTAGCAAAACCAGTGACACTCCAAGTCGACGCTTCACAAAACGGTCTAATTGGAGCTGCTCTAATCCAAAACCAAGGTCCAGTAGCTTACGCATCGAAAGCCATGAACGACACACAACGACGCTACGCACAGATCGAAAAGGAACTGCTGGCTGTTGTTTTCGCTTGCAAAAGATTCCATCAGTACGTTTATGGTAAAACCATTACTGTCGAAAGTGACCACAAACCTCTGGAAGCTATTCTCAAAAAACCCTTGTCACTTGTTACGATATGTACGGGCTACCTGTACCGGTAGCGCCCACGGTGTGGTGCGTCAGCGGAGATACGATATATAAACAACATTTACGAACATCTAGGATCATTCGATTTAGACATTGTACGTTAGTTATATAAGAGATAATAAAGAGCAAAACATGGTGTCAGGAGTGGGATCTTTTAACTGAAGCCGTGTGGATATATTTTATTGAAAAAATATCGCAACACGAATGTTAAAAGTGCAAATATTTCGAAGATTTACGTGACCCAGTAGGCCGCCATATTGGATTTTCTGAATTCGGGAAAAAAAAAAAAAAAAGAAAAAAGCATGGCAACGTACCAGATTCCAGCACCAGAACCAATGAATTGCAATGGCGATGTCGCAAACAACTGGAAGAGTTTTCATGAAGCATATGAAGATTATTTAATAGCAACAGGCTTAGATCAGAAAGACAAGAAAGTTCAAATGGCCACGTTGAAAAGTCTAATGGGAACTGAGTGCAAGAAAATACTTAAAAGACTTCAATTATCAGAGGCCGATATGAAAGATCCAGCTATTATTCTTGCAAAGCTGCAAGACCGTACCAGTACGAAATATTCTGTATGAGAGATATATTTTCCATAACACTGAACAGCAAGTACATGAAACTATTGACCAGTTTCTTATAAAGCTCAGGCAATTAGCTGAGCCATGTAACTTTGGAACACTAGAAGATCAGATGGTGAGAGACCGTCTGGTTCTTGGCTGTCGGGACAGTGCGGCCAGGACCAGGCTTTTCCGCGAGAAAGATTGCACTCTCAAGAAAGCTATAGAGTCCCTTCGTATAAGTGAGAC